GTTAATAGAGAAGATGTGAAGGTAGGAAATCGATTCTCTGTTCTCCAAGACGAGTGTACTTCAGTGGTTAGTGAGGTTGAAGGCACCACTGATTCCCCTGCTAATCAAGGTAAGAATATTTTAATAGCAGGCGATTCTCAGGTAAGATATATGGACCGTGCATTTTGTAACAGAGACAGAAAGTTCAGACAGAGAGTGTGTCTTCCTGGAGCTGGTGTTGGCGACATAGTCAGCAGGTTGGATAACATTATGGCAGGTAATGGGAAAAGCCGATTATCTGTCTTAGTGCTGGGGGTAATGACATTGGGAAGGGCACGAGAGAGGAGCTGCTGGATAGGTACAGGTCAGCCATAGAAGTAGTTAGGTCTAAGGGAGGGATCCCAGTCATATGTAGCATCTTTCCTAGAAAGGGAGTGGGCAATGAATGGATGTCTAGGGCAATTGGTATAAATCGCTGGCTAGACAGGTACTGCAAGGAACTTGCAATCCCATTCATTGATAACTGGGACCTTTTCTTTGGCAAATGTGATATGTATGCAAGGGATGGGGTTCATTTCTCTGGGGATGGAGTGGTTGCATTAGCCAATTCAATTGAGAGGGTAATTGATGACTTGTCTAGGAATTTAAATTGATAGATTATAAAGGTATGTGTGTTTGTGGGAAACAATCAGGCTGCAACATTAGGGTTAAAAACAGCAGTTATTACCGGGATACCTCAGGGATATGTTTAAAAGACAATATTCAAAATAAAGTTGCTAGTAATGAAAAATCAATTGATCAACAAAGAGAGATAGTAGAGGGCAACGAGTGACTAGCTCCCTAAAGATTTACTATACAAATAGAAGGAGTCTAAGAAATAAGTTAGATGAGCTAAAATTGCTTGCAAGTGTAGGTAATATAGATATTATTGGTATAACAGAGACCTGGTTCAACCTGAAAGATAGAGAAATGCCTTCTGAATGCAACATACAGGGTTATAAACTATTCCACACTGATAGGGTCAACAGGAAGGGTGGTGGTGTGGCGATGTATGTAAGATAAAATTTAAATTGTTGTCTTAGACATGATATAAGATTAGAAACATCGAACACAGAATCGGTTTGGCTACAGTTTCTCGAGGGACGTGACAAATTAATTTTGGGTGTGATTTATAGGCCCCCAAACCTTGATAGGAAGTGCAGTAAGCTGTTATGGGACGAAATTCATAAGGCATCTAGATATGAAAATGTTGCGATAATGGGAGACTTTAACTTTAGACAAATTGATTGGAACAATATGACAGGAAATCTTGAGTCTAGTGACTTTCTTGACACGGTTCAGGATTGCTTTTTAGAACAGGTTGTGACAGAACCAACTAGAGGAAACAATCTGCTTGACTTGGTTCTTGCCAACAAAGATTCACTAATTAATAATCTTGAGGTTAATGACGAGCTTGGGGAAAGTGATCACGAATCACTTAGTTTCAATATATCATGGAATTACCCAGATAACTGCAATCAAATCTCTGTCCCAGATTTTTGCTTGGCCGACTTCATGGGACTGAAAAATTACTTGGGTGGGCTAAATTGGGATGTCCTGACTATGGGTCAGGTAGGTGATCTTGGTTGCCAATATGACGTTTTTCAGAGCATAGTTCTAGCTGCCCAGACAACTTTTGTTCCGAGTAGGGAAATTAGATCTAACAAAATTGATCCCAAATGGATGAACAATAGATTAAAACATCTCACTGGTCAAAAGAGAGGCATATATAGGCGTATCAAAAGAGGGGATGGGCAGTTAAAAAAGAAATCATATATTCAATTAAAGAGAAAAATAAAAAAAAGGAATAAGAAAAGCAAAAAGGGATTATGAGGCTAAGGTTGCAAGGGATTCAAAGACTAACCCAAAAGGGTTCTTTCAGGTATACAGAAGTAAGATTAGGGACAAGATTGGCCCACTTAAGAGTAACTCTGGTCAGATCACTGACAGTGATAAGGATATGTGTGAAATTCTAAATACCTACTTCCTCTCAGTTTTCACCCAGGAAAATACTAGCAATATTCATGAAATAATAGATTACGTAGAACAGGTTGATAATAAACGATGTACGATAGCGGTAACTAGTGACATGGTCCTTAGACAAATAGAGAAACTAAAACCTAACAAATCCACAGGTCCTGATGAACTGTTTGCAAGGGTGTTAAAGGAACGTAAAGAGGAACTTAGCAGACCTTTGGCTAATCTTTTTAACATATCACTACAAACTGGCATAGTGCCTGATAAGTGGAAAATGGCAAATGTAATACCTATTTATAAGGCAGGTGACAGGTCCTTGGCTTCGAACTATAGACCAATAAGCCTTACCTCCATAGTGGGAAAATTTATGGAATCAATAATTGCCGAAGCAATTCGTAGCCATCTTGACAGGCACAGATTGATTAATGATTCTTAACACGGTTTTACAAAGGGGCGTTCATGTCTTACGAAAATACTAACTTTTTTCACTAAGGTGTTTGATGAGGTAGATCATGGTAATGAATATGATATTGTGTATTTGGACTTCAGTAAGGCTTTCGATAGAGTTCCACACCAGAGGCTATTGAGGAAACTTAGGGCACACGGAATAGGAGGAGAAATTTTTTCCTGGATAGAGGCATGGCTGACAAATAGACAGCAGAGAGTTTGCATAAATGGGGAGAACTCAGAATGGGAGCACGTCACAAGCGGCGTTCCTCAGGGGTCAGTGTTGGGCCCGTTGTTGTTCACAATTTACATAAACGACATAGATGAGGGAATAAATAACGACATAAGCAAATCTGCTGATGACACTAAAATATGCCATCCAATTCATTCTAATGAGGACATTAGAGCACTCCAGGATGATTTGAATAGACTGACGCAATGGTCGGAGAAGTGGCAGATGCAGTTTAATATTGACAAATGCAAAGTTCTAAATCTTGGACAGTTAAATAACCATGCCACATATAAACTAAATAATGTAGATCTTAATACTACCGATTGCGAAAAGGATTTACGAGTTCTGGTTAGCAGTAATCTAAAACCAAGACAACAGTGCATTAGTGTTCGCAGTAAAGCTAACAGAATTCTTGGCTTCATATCTAGAAGTATAAATAATAGAAGTCCTCAGGTTGTTCTTCAACTCTATATATCCTTGGTTAGGCCTCATTTATACTATGCTGCTCAGTTCTGGTCACAGTATTACAGAATGGATATAAATGCTTTGGAAAACGTACAAAGAAGGATGACAAAGATGATCCCATGTATCAGAAATCTTCCCTATGAGGATAGACTGAGGGCCCTGAATCTGCACTCTCGAAAGGTGTAGAATTAGGGGGGATATGATCGAGGTGTATAAATGGAAAACAGGAATAAATAAAGGGGATGTAAATAGTGTGCTGAAAATTTCCAGCCAAGACAGGACTCGCAGAAATGGTTTCAAGTTGGAAAAATTCAGATTCAGGAAGGATATATGAAAGCACTGGTTTGGTAATAGAGTTGTGGATGAGTGGAACAAGCTCCCGAGTGCAGTTATTGAGGCTAAAACGTTGTGTAGTTTTAAAAATAGGTTAGATAAATATGTACATGAGTGGGTGTGTGTGGGTGTGAATTGGACCTGACTAGCTTGTGCTGCTGGGTCTGGTACAGTGCTCCATCCTTGAGTGGGGATGACCAGACTGGGAGGGTCATTGGGATAATCCGGGGGGGGGGGTCATTGGTCTAATCCGGGTGGGGACATGGACCTGCTCTGCTTGGGTCAGTAGGCCTGTTGCAGTGTTAATTCTTTCTTATGTTCTTGTCTTCTTAAATAAAATATAAAAAAAAGTATCAATAGTAGATGTCAATTCATGTCATTGTGTCTTTTTATTCTTCTAAATACTCCGATCATAAGTCTTTTTAATTACATAGTCCAGCTCAACAAGAGATTTATTGTGGAGTTTGAATAAACTTTCTGAAAACTATTATATGTATGGTAATTGGCAAAAAAAGCCTTAAATAAAAGTCATTGCTCATGTATAGAAAACCAACAATACTTGTTTCCAAATATACTCTTTTTCATATCACTACGAGACAGTATATTGTTTGAAAGCTTTGTGCGTAATCTATTGATTATAGACGATGAAATAAGAAAAATAATCTTTTTAACTCACTTTTGTCAAAATTCTTTATAGACGAGTTTCGAATAAAATATGATTACTACCCATTTTCCTGTCACTTTTTTGCAGGTGTTTTTTATTTTGCAGGTTGTGATGTTAACATATTTATAACTTAATTTTAATTCATCATAGGGAGAATGTTCAAATGTGAGTGAATATTTCTCACGTGCATGTTAAAGTCGTATACCTCAATTTTGAAAATCAAATAAGCTCCTAAATTTGTCATTGATTAATTAAACTAGTGAGACAATAAGGCTGTTGTTTATTGCCCCTGTCTGTGGTAATAGTGATACTGGTGGCGTTGCTGGCATAGTTAATGTACAGTCCTCGTCGCTAAAGTCTGGGCAGCCAGGAACACCATCACACTCCCAAATCTTAGGGATGCATTTGCCTGACGGCTGACATGTGAATTCTACATCTGAGCATGTTCTCTGTCAATGGACGTATATGTAAAAAATAAAAAGGGACAATACCGAGACTGGAACGATACACAAATATTATGCACAGAGCGGAAACTTATGAAGATCCGTCGGCCCGACTTGGACCATTAACTAATCACACAGAGGGGCTCAAAAAAGAAAGTAGCCGGAACATATACGAGAGGAGGGCGAGGGAGAGGAAGAAACAGAAAAGAGAATTTTACTATGGAAGTAGTAGCAGTAGTAGTAGAAATAGCAGTAGTAGTAGTAGTAGTAGAAGTAATAGCAGTAGTAGTAGTATTAGTAGCAGTGGTAATAGTAGTAGAAGTAACAGTAGTAGTACTAGTGGAAGTAATAATAGCATCAGTAGTCATGGTATTGCACCTCCTAATTCTTAAATACTCCGATCACAGATCTTTTTAACTACCTCGACATTGATGGACGTCGACAGTGCTGGAGATGAAGTCGACAGTGAATGCGTGAAACCACAGTTTTCCTCATCACTTGAGTCTCGACAGTCTTTGGTCTCATCACACACCCATAAACGAGGGATACATTCGCCAGATGACTTACACTTGAACTGGATTTCAGAACAAATTTCCTGTCAAAAGACAAATTTCCTTATATATTATTTGATGTGATGTTAGTGTGTTTATTTGTCTGTATACAATGATCAAACGTTTCCGGACTAAAGATATTCAATTATTGCTTACGTGTTTCCTTCATCAAATTGTCAGTTTTCCAAACTATATTCTCAAATTTGACAGACACTGTAATATGTTGGCATCGTGATTCAAGGAATTCTTCAAAACTTTCCTGCTACTTCCAATAGTCGGTTTTTCCACTGGTGATGCCGCCGACCATTACTTCAACTCATCTGTCATCAGTAAATAATATACTTAATCTCCGCGAATAGGCTACATTTTACTCAAGATTAAAGGAGCGAATATTTTTACTCCTCGCTGGACTGATTTCCTCAAACTCCTCCTAATTTTCCACCGTTCTCTACATTGGATTGAAGAATCCAACGGCTGGCGAATCGTTTCTTAAAAAAAAAAAAAATACAAAAATGTTACTCAAGCATCTGATTTGTTTATTTGTCGAGAGAAAAATAAGAAGGAGAGGGAATGTAGCATATGAGGGTATGGGGTGACGGTGGGTCATTTTAATGGAGAAACTTCCCTCAGGGTAACCGGCATATGCACCTGTCATCCATTTATCTTGTTGGGCAACATGTACAACTCAATACCTTTCGAAAGCTTGACGAATGTCGACCTCATTCGCCTCAAAAGGTACGTTCTGTACCCTCACCCACATATACTGATGGAAAACGTCCACAAGTCTGACGCTCACTTCCGGGGTCACTTCCATACTAAGATCTTGGTAACGATCAACAAGACCCTCATACACCTGCACTTGGAGCAATTTTACGAATATCTTGAATGAGCCATTTAAAGCCACGCCGTACAGCTCCATGTCGTCAATGCCATAGATGTTCCTGATAATCAAGAGCAACAACTCATGGACTGTCGTGGGCCTGATGGATCCATGCACTAATTCAATTCCAACAGTGTTTACTCTGCGATGTATGGCAAAGACCATGATGAGCACTAGGTTGTTAGCTTGGCTGTTGACAGAGTTGTGAGGAGTGTCCACTCACCCTGGCAGCTAGGCGAGGAATGTAACACAAGATTTAGTGTGTACATTGAATAAACTTGCTGGAAACTATTATATATATGGTAATTGACAAAAAAAGTCCTAAAAAAGTCATTGCTCATGTATAGAAAACCAGCATTGCTTGTTTCCAAATATACTCTTTTCTATATCACTACGAGACAATATATTGTTTGAAAGCTTTGTGCGTAATCTATTGATTATAGATGAGGAAATAAGAAAAATAAGCCTTTTTAACCCAATTTTGTTGAAATTCTTTATAGACGAGTTTCAAATAAAATGTGATTACCACCCATTTTCCTGTCGCTTTCTTGCAGGTGTTTTCTATTTTGCAGGTTATGATATTAACATATTTATAACTTAATTTTATTTCATCATAAGGAGAATGTTCAAATGTGAGTGACTATTCCTCATGTGCATGTTAAAGTCATATACTTCAATTTTGAAAATATCAAATAATGTCCTGAATTTGTCAATGATTAATTAAAATGTGGGGAGGACATGGAGGCTCAGGCTGTCACCCTACACCTGCCGGATGGACCTCTCGTGGTTTACGACATTTACAGAAGCTCTCAGTACACCATTGACATTTCAGAGGTGGCAGCACTCGCCTCCCTGGAGGGTCTTGTTGTGGCTGGGGATGTCAATGCCCACCACCCAATACTTTCTTCTGTCTCTCCTACCAACTCAGCTGGGAGGCACCTTGCGGCTGTGCTGGAGGAGGTCCTTGAGATCGCTCTCCTCAACAATGGTGAGCCAACCCATCACTACGATGGCCGCTTGGACGTCACACTCATCTCTAGGCAGTTGCTCTCGAGTGCAATATGGGAGGTCCACCCCCGTCTCACCAGTGATCACTTTGCAGTGGTCACCACGCTAACCATACCTACCCCCAGATGGAATCTAAAAAAGGCCGACTGGCAGTGCTTCCAAGAGGTCATTGAGCACTGGTGGGCAGTGTCTCCTCTTCTGGAAGACCCAGATGAGGCAGCTCAAAGCTTGCAGGTGGCCGCCGATGGATGTGGTCGGAAGCAGATGCCACACGGAAGCTCCTGCCCATGACATTGCTTCAGGTGGGAGGCTGCGACAGACTGGCAGCGAACTACATGGTGCCACCCCCTTGGGCACCAGAGCTGTTGGCGGTGCACTGGACAACCCTACCAGACAGCAAGAGGCATTGCACCCAGGACGTTCTGCAACGACTTGCCTCCGGTAGCAGTGTGGGTGCGGAAGGCCCATGGTGTGTGCCATATTACACCGATGGCTCCAGAGACCCAGTGGCAGGCCGCACAGCTGCTGGGATATTACACAGCAATCTGACAGCAGGTTGGCGCCTCCCAGACCATTTCACCATCTTCCAGGCTGAACTCTTTGCCATCCAATAAGCTCTGCAGCATGCTCTTGCAGACTATCAGCATCCCCCCCCCCATCATTCACGTTGATTCCAAGGCAGCGATCCAAGCAATTATGCACTGAGAGCCAAAGGACAACATACACTTAATCACATCCATCCGGGGTGACCTGCAGACACTCATTGCCCAGGGTCACAGGGCCACCATCAACTGGATCCCGAGTCATGTGGGTATCCCTGGCAATGATGCTGCAGATGAGGCTGCTAAGACTGCAACCCTCGAGGCACAGCCACGTGCTGCAATCTCAATCAGCCTCAGCCAGATTGCGCTGTGGGCTGCCGGTGCGGCCAGGCGCCCACTCCCTGACCCTGGGGATTCACGGAGCCTCCGCTGGTATGTCAGGGCGATCCACAGGGCGCCCCCTCCAAGTATTCGGACACAGTCCAGAGAACTGAGGGTGCATATCCACCCCCTACGCTTAGGCTATCCCACCACTGCGCGGATTGTCGAATGGGCAAGATAGGAACTCTGTGGCCATTGTGATCGAATGGTTCCGATGCCCTTGGTGCACTACATGTTAGACTGCCCGGCTACGATGCACCTTCGCCGTAGACACTTCCCAATGACCTCAGTGGGGCAGGCCCGAGAGGATGAGGCAGCACATCTTGTGTACTTAGCTGTCAGGGACTTGGTAATCTTAATTCCAATCATTGCACGTCACCTGCCCCTCCGTTGAAGTCGCTGGGAGGGCCTGCTTTGGGCCTCCATTGCACTGTACACCAGCCGCCATTAGTGGATACTAACGTTTGGTATGTCATCTGGCCATAGAGCAGGTGAGGTACCCCCCCCTTCCCGCTGAAGAACTGCCACGCATGTGCAAGAAAAAGATAAACGACACTTCCCTACCTGGGGAGCCAATGCCGGGTCACCAAACTGGAAGAGACCCGGGCCGGGATACCATACCGGGGAATCAAATAGAATAGAATAGAATTAATTAAACTATTGAGACAGTAAGGCTGTTGTTTATTGCCTCTGTCTGTGGTGATGATGATACTGGTGTCGTTGCTGGCGTAGTTAATGTACAGTTGTCGTCGCTGGAGTCTGGACAGTCAGGAACACCATCACACTCCCAAATCTTAGGGATGCATTTGCCTAACGGCTGACATGTGAATTCTACATCTGAGCATGTTCTCTGTCAATGGACGTATATGTAAATAATAAAAAGGCACAATACCGAGAATGGAACAATACACAAATATCATGCACAGAGGGGAAACTCATGACGATGCGTAGGTCTGACTTGGACCATTACTAATCACACAGAGAGGCTCAAAAAAGAAAGGAGCCGCAATATATACGAGAAGAGGGCGAGGGAGGGGAAGAACCAGAAGAGAGAGTTTTACTATAGTAATAGTAGTGGTAATAGTAGACGTAGCAGTAGTAGTAGTAGTGAAAGCAGTAGTAGTAGTAGTAAAAGCAGTAGTATTAGTAGCAGTGGTAATAGTAGTAGAAGTAACAGTAGTAGTACTAGTGGAAGTAATAATAGTATCAGTAGTCATGGTATTGCGCCTGTTAATTACTTCGACATTGATGGATGTCGACAGTAATGAAGATGAAGTCGACAGTGACTGCATGAAGCCACAGTTTTCCTCATCACTTGAGTCTTAACAGTCTCATCACACACCCATAAACGAGAGATACATTCGCCAGATGACTTACACTTGAACTGGATTTCAGAACAAATTTCCTGTCAAAAGACAAATTTCCTTATATATTACTGGATGAGATGTTAGTATGTTTATTTGTCTGCATACAATGATGAAACGTTTTCAAACTAAAGATATCCAAATGTTGCATACGAGTTTTCTTTATCAACTTGCCAGTTTTCCAAACCATATTCTCAGATTTGAAAGACACAGTAACATGTTGGCATCGTGATTCAAAGAATTCTTTGAAAGATGCCTACTACTTCCAACAGTAGCTTTTATCACTGGTGGTGCTGCCTACCATTGCTTCAACTCATCTGTCTGCAGTAAATAATAAGCTTCATCTCTGTGAATAGGCTACATTTTAATCAAGATTAATTGAGTGAATATTTTGACTCCAGGCTGAAGGACTGATTTCTTCAAACTCCTTCTAATTTTCCACCATTCTCTGCATTGGATTGAAGAATGCAATGGCTGGCGAATCGTTTCTTGAATAAAAAATTCACAAATGTTACACAAGTATCTTACTTGAATATTTATGGAGAGAACAAAAAAGAGGGGAAGGGAACGCAACAGAGAAATTTGCACTAACGCTGGTGAATAGTGTCAGGCATGTACTTTGAATACTACAGCGAGGAGGAGGCTTGACTCAGTAGAGATGTCAAGTTTGAGAGCAATGTACGGCATGAATATTTTGCAGAGAACTCTGAGAGCAGAAATTAGAAGAGGGTATAGTATCACGAAGGGAATAATGAGATAGCTGAGGAAGGGTTTTTCAGGTGGTGTAGAATTTAGAGAGGCTGGAGGGGAAGAGGATGAGCATGATGTGTATACCGCCTGTGGAGTGAAAGGACAGTGGGGGCGGAGTCGTCCCTGAAATGCTTGGAAGGACAGCGTATAAGACATGAATGTAAAAAACGAAAAGAGACAATTCCGTGACTGGAACAATATACAAATAACCGACACAGAGAAGAAACTTACGTCGACGTGTTGGACCAATTTGGGCCATTAATTAACTAAGGCACAGCAGTACAAGGTTAGGGAGCTAGTACATGCATGTATCCTCATACTTTACTGTTAAATATTTAAACAAATATTTAATTATATCGTGCGGTACACAGATTACCCGCACACAAGACACTGAAGCTTAAGACAACGTTTTGGTCCGATTTAGGCCATTAACTGGTGACACAGAGAAGCTCAAAAAGAAGGGAGCCAGAATATATGCGAGAGGATGTTGGGGGGACAGGAGAGGTAGAACGGGAAGAGGGAATTTTATTAAAGTAGAAGTAGTAATATTAGAAGCAGCAACAACAATAGTGTATACTAGTATCAATAGTAGTTGTCAATTGTGTCTTTTTATTCTTTTAAATGCTCCGATCCTAAGTCTTTTTAATTACTTAGTCCAGCTCAGCACAAGATTTATTGTGGAGGTTGAATAAATTTAATGAAAATTATTATATATATATGTTAATTGGCAAAAAAAATCCTTAAATAAAGGTCATTCCACATGTATAGAAAACCAGCATTGCTTGTTTCCAAATATACTCTATTTCATATCACTACGAGAAACTATATTGTTTGAAATCTTTGCACGTAATCCACTGATTACAGATGGTGAAATAAGAAAAATAAACCTTTTTAACCCAATTTTGTCAAAATTCTTTATACACGAGTTTCGAATAAAATATGATTACCACCCATTTTCCTGTCACTTTTTTGCAGGTGTTTTCTATTTTGCTAGTTATGATATTAACATATTTATAACTTAATTTTAATTCAATATAGGGAGAATGTTTCAATGTGAGTGAATGTTTCTTACGTGCATGTTAAAGTCGTATACTTCAATTTTGAAAATATCAAATAAGGT